TGCTGCCTTGTGGATCAGGATGTAAGTTTAAGTTCGTTCTCTCTCTCTCTCTCTCTCTCTCTCTCTCTCTCTCTCTCTTTCTTTTGTTTGTTTTTTGAGACAAGGTTTCTCTTTGTAACAGCCCTAGCTATCCTGGAAATCATTTTGTAGACCAGGCTGGCCTCCAACTCACAGAAAGAGATCCACCTGCCTCTGCCTCCGCCACCACCCGGCTAGGATGTAAGTTCTTAGCTACTTCTCCAGTGCCATGTCTGCCATCACACTCACCAATATGTTGAGTTGGTGGGTTGGTAGTGGTAGTGGGTTAACCCTTGGAAAAAGCGAGCCCCCCAATGAAATGCTTTCTTTTATAAGTTATCTCAGTTATGGTGTCTCTTCCCAGCAACAGAACAGTGACTAAGACAGTAAGTAAGGATCTCAAAATGATATACTGGATTCAAGGTGGACCTCGAATCTGACGATGAGATCCTTATTAAGGGGCCGAGGACAAAAGAGTGGAGAAGGCAGCCATACGAAAACATATAGAGTTTATACTCCTGCTGCCACCAGCCAAGAAAAGTCTCAGGCCAGGAAGGATTTTCTTTTTTCTAACACTTTCAAAGGGAGGTAGCTGTGATAACTCTGATTTTGGACATCCCACCTCCAGAACCGTGAAAGAAGAAGGTTCTATTGTTTTGAGACACCAAGGTTTTGAGCCTTTAAGGGTGTGGTGTGTTACCATGGCAGCCATAGGAAGCACATGCAGGAGAATTGATTTTTTTTTTCTTCCGAGATATCTCTGACTGTCCTGGAACTTGCTCTGTAGACCAGACTGGCCTCCAGCTCAGCAATCTACCTGCCACTGCCTCCCAGTGCTGGGATTAAAGGTGGGCTTCACCACTACCCCGCTGAAAGTGACATTCTCAGTGGAGTAAGGACCAGTCAGCCAGCCCAGCTGGAGCAGCCTAGGTGGACTCAGAGGGATGCAAGATGACCAAGGTGCTAGGGGGCAACCAGCAGAGGGTTCATGAGGGATGATTGACAGCCTGGACCAGGGTGGGGCGCATAGCTCAGAGTTTCAATTAAACCTGGGATATATTCGGCAAGAAGACCTGCAGTGAGAGAAAGGGAGTTGAGACTGACTTCACCGGGATGGTCTGCACAAGGAATCAAGCTGGAAACTCCTAAAACAGACAAGCCTACGGGGAGCAGATGTCCGCAGGACACAGGCTGGGAAGAAAGTGACAGTGAACTTCTGTTTTGGACAGCTTAGGATCAAGGTGCCTGTCACACCTCCACAGGAACAAGTAGGACATTTGCACAGGGATTCACTGGGACAAAAAAAGAGCTCTAAGCTTCAGGAGAAGAAAAAAAAAGATGCAGTTTTATGCAAATGGTGTGAATATCTATATAGAAACCACAACATAAGCAATAATTTTTCAAAATTCAGCATTACAGCTCAAAAGACTTCATACATTGTTTTCTGGCTTTTTTGTTTTATTTTGTTTTTGTTTGTCTGTGCGGCAGCCTTGGCTGTCCTGGAACTCACTAAGTAGATGAGGCTGACCTTGAACTCACAGAGATCCACCTGCCCCTGCCTCTAGAGTTCTGGGATTAAGGGTGTGCACCTGGCATTTTGTATAAGAACTTTAAACAGACCAGGCAGATATCCAGATATCATGTGAAAATAAATTACATATAACAAGTTTTATTTTTATACGGTAATTTATATGCTGTATTTTGTACAGTAAAATTAATATTTTTTTTTACTGTATCTAGAAATTCTGCCTGGAGCACTCAAAGCTTTGATGTGAGAACTGAGTGAGTTAATACAGGGTAAGTCATATAACATACCTGTCACATAGTGGTTTGTAACTATGATAGTAAAAATTGCTAAAATGTTTGCCTTTGCTGCAAACTTTTTTGTGTGTCAGAACACACAACAGAAGCCTGAATGCATCAAAAGCAATCTACAGATTCAACACAATGCCCAGCAAAATCCCAGCAAAATTCTTCAAAGACCTTGGAAGAACGGTACTCAACTTCATATGGAAAAGCAAAAAACCCAGGATAGCCAAAAAAAACCCTGGGCAATAAAAGAACTTCTGGAGGCATCACAATCCCTGACTTCAAACTCTACTACAGGGCTATGGTACTGAAAACAGCCTGGTATTGGCATAAGAACAGACAAGGGAACCAATAGAGCCAAATAGAAGACCCGGATGTCAATCCACACCTGATTTTTGACAAGCAAAAAATATCAAAAAAGAAAGAAAAAAGAAAGCATATTTAACAAGTGGTGTTGGCATAACTGAATATCAACATGCAGAAGAATGAAAATAGACCCATATCTATCACCATGCACAAAACTCAAGTCCAAATGGATCAAAGACCTCAACATAAAGCCAACCACACTGAACCTCATAGAAGAGAAAGTGGGAAGTACACTTGAACGCATTAGCACAGGGAACCACTTCCTAACTAGAACCCCAGCAGCACAGACACTGAGAGAAACAATTAATAAATGAGACCTCCTGAAACTGAAAAGCTTCTGTAAAGCAAAGGACACGGTCAACAAGACAAAACGACAGCCTACAGAATGGGAAAAGATCTTCACTAATCCCACATCAAGCAGAGGTCAGATCTCCAAAATATACAAAGAACTCAAGAAATTCGACACAAAAAGAGCACATAATCCAATTAAAAAAAATGGAATACAGACCTAAACAGAGAACTCTCAACAGAGGAATCTAAAATAGCTGAAAGACAGGTGTGGATTGACATCCGGGTCTTCTATTTCTAAGGAAATTTTCAACATCCTTAGTCATCAGAGAAATGCAAACCAAAACAACTCTGAGATTCCATCTTACTCCTGAAAGAATGGCCAAAATCAAAAACACTGATGACAATTTATGCTGGAGAGGTTGTGGGGTAAAGGGAACACTTCCGCATTGCTGGTAGGAATGCAAGCTGGTACAACCCCTTTGGGCGTCAGTGTGGCGATTTCCTTCCTCAAGACCCAGCAATTTCACTTTTGGGTATATATCCAAAGGATGCTCAATTGTGCCACAAGGACATGTGCTCAACTATGTTCATAGCAGCTTTGTTTATCATAGTTAAAACTTGGAAACAATTTAAATGCCCCTCAATCGAAGAATGAATAAAGAAAATGTGGTACATTTACACAATGGAGTACTACACAGCAGAAAAAAATAACGACAGTTTGAATTTTGCAGGAAAATGGATGAAGCTAGAAAACACTATTTTGAGTGAGGTAACCCAGACACAGAAAGATAATCATCACATGTACTCACTCATAGGTGGTTTTTAATTTTTTATATATTTATTTATTTATTATGAATATAATATTCTGTCTGTGTGTATGTCTGCAGGCCAGAAGAGGGCACCAGACCTCATTACAGATGGTTGTGAGACACCATGTGGTTGCTGGGAATTGAACTCAGGACCTTTGGAAGAGCACGCAAAGCTCTTAACCACTGAGCCATCTCTCCAGCCCCTCATAGGTGGTTTTTTTTTTTTTAAATATTTATTTATTATGTACACAGTGTTCAGTCTCCATGTATGCCTTCAGGCCAGAAGAGGGCACCAGATCTCATTACAGATGGTTGTGAGCCACCATGTGGTTGCTGGGAATTGAACTCAGGACCTCTGGAAGAGCAGTCAGTTCTCTTAACCTCTGAGCCATCTCTCCAGCCCTCATAGGTGGTTTTTAAACATAAAGCTAAGAAAGCCAGCCTACAAACCACAATCCCAGTGAATTTAGACAACAATGAGGACACTAAGAGAGACCTACATAGATCTAATCTAAATGGGAAGTAGAAAGTAGAAAAAGACAAGATCTCCTGAGTAAATTGGGAGCATGGGGATCTTGGAGGAGGGTTGAAGTGGGAAGGGGAGAGGCAGGGAGGGGAGCATAAAAAGTATAGAGCTCAATAAATATCAATAAAAAAAATTTAAAAAAAGAAGCCTGAATGCACAACGTACCACCAAGGAAGATGCTCAGAGGCAGGGAAAGTCTCCTACATTTAAGAGTTCCTTCTACTTGAAATACCACAGTTTACGTTAAAATGTTTCAGGAATTGATGCATTTTAAAAAAAAATCAGCTGTTGGTTCATCTCAACCAAACTAATTTTGTTTTTTATTAATTTTTGCCTTTATCTCAATGTTTACGCTTTCTTGTTTTCTATCCAATGCATTTAAGGCGACACGTTTTACCCAGACTATTGCTTTGACAACATCTTCTTCACCGTGACCTGATAATTAGAGATGATGATGTAAATAAGGCGTTCAGTACTCTCTGTGAGTCCTGGATGTCCTGGAGCTCGTTATGTAGACCAGGCTGGCCTCGAATTCAGAGCTCCTACTGCCTCTGCTGGGATTAAATCCCGCGCTGGAATTAAACGATGGCGCCACCACTCCAAGGGAGCATTTGTCTGTCATTCACAGAAAGCCGCCTTCCTAACTCGGCCCGCCCTTCAGGGGAGGGGCCTGTAGTGACCCCGCCCCCTACACGCCAGCCCGGTTCCCATGACACTACGCTGCACTGTCAGCAAGTGCGGTGAACTCGACGTCTCCTTCCGCTGTAAGCAACCAAGTCTGGACTGCGGTGGGGAGAGGAGGGGAATAGTCCCTTGGCAACCAAGTTCCGCTCCCGAGGAGGCCGGAAGGGGCGGGCTTAAGGGCAGAAGAAATCGGAAGCCGCTCTACCTGCGGCGGGACTGGGCGATGCGCCTCCGGGAGGCGGGCTCAGTGGTGCGGAGGGATCTGCGGCGGGCCACGGAGGCGCTCCGCCTCCTCTCCGGCAGGCTTGCGGCGCGGGCGGCAGTTGCTGTGGTTTCGGTGCTGAGGTGGCTCTGTGCGCGCCTAGGCTTGCAGATCCGCGTCGCGCCGCCGCTGCTTTCCGCCGTCAGTGGCTGCAGCTCAGCGTCCTTCTTTCGGACCGGCGGCCCCCTCTCTCTTTCGCCGCTCGGTGCCGACTTCCAGTCCCGGGCCTAGGGCGGCTGCGGGGCCGCGGCTGGCGAGATGTTCAAGAACACGTTCCAGAGCGGCTTCCTCTCCATCCTCTACAGCATCGGCAGCAAGCCCCTGCAGATCTGGGACAAAAAGGTGAGCGGCCGGGCGGGGCGGGGCGTGGGCGGGGCCGGACCGATAGCCCTCGCCGCCCCCGTGAGGGTGTGGCTGCTGAACCTCGGCTTCTCGGTCGGTAGAATGGGTGCAGAGTGCCCACCGCCTAGCTGGAAACTTGATGAAAAGGCATGCACGTGTTCACCGGTGCCAGACACTGTGCTGCTCTGAAGACGGAGGGCCCTTGTCCCAGACGTCCTGAGCAGAAGCGCAGCCACAACCGCCCGGGCCAAGCCAGACGTGTTCAGGTGTTATCCATTAGCTCCCTCCCTTTCTCTGAATGCTGCCAGGCTAACCTTTGGGACCTGCCGCAAGCCCTCTGTGACTTGGAGTCTGTACTGTTCCTCCCCTACCGGCTTTCTCCATTGAGGAAACTGCAAAATGGTGATTGTCAGAAGCTTCTCAGACGTCGTAAATTCGGCCCCAGTGTCAAGCCTCCGTATTTTTTTCCAGGCCTCCTATAGAATGGATGGTACTTTCGCGTACCGCATGAGCTGGTGGTCCTTCCTGGCCATTTTTGGAGATATTAAGGTCTAGCTGGATGTGAGTTGTTCTGCATTTATTTTCTTGGCGTTTCATTTCTTATGAAGATTCCCGGGGCAGTCAACCGGACCGTTTGTTTTGTTTTGTTTTATTAATATATAAAGTAGGGACTCTGATGCAGAAGCAGGCGATTTAGGGAATATCTTTAGTTCTGCCCTCTTCGGGGGGGGGGATGGAGGGAGGCGATGTACCTGGTAGAGTGTTCACAGAGGTGGTATGTAGAATTTGCGAAGTAAGCCAAGTCTGTTGGTAGTGGAACTAGAACAATACAGTGCCTTTCTTTATTTGCAAAGGAGGACTTTGGGCCACACAGCGGTTGAGAGAGCACCTGCCTTGCCTTCCGCTTGTCACTGCCAGGCAGTTGTGTTCTGAGGACAGCTTTGAGAGAAGCATGTTTGGAGTATCATGACATTTGGTTAAGACAGTTGAGAGTTCCACAAGATCTGACCTATTATCAGTAAACAGTCTAACCAAGTCTTCTCTTTCAGACGATTTTGTCCATAGCTAGAGTTATGTCAGGAGCATTGCATAGGAGGCAGACCCTTAGCCCCCCCCCCTTGAGCTTTTGTTCACTTTGAAATGAAGCATCAGGAGCTCTGTAATTAGACCTCTGCAAAGAAGCCAGAGTGGGTCCCCCCTGGAGGTGCTGGGAGGAGGGTGGCTCACCAGCCTTGGTATCTTGACAGTTATGGCCAGAGGGTATGGAGAGAGCCGGCTTGTGTGCTGCTTGAACTTGGGAACGAGCTGTGTGAACTGTTGGTGTAAAGCAGTCAGAGCAGGTCCAGAGAAATGCCGGATCGTGGTGGGAGGGTGGGGGCGAAGCTTTTACCAGCTTTTATCCATTTAACACCCCCCTGACTTTGATCTGCAATGTGGGTTTTTTTTTTTTCCAAGCATGGCTTTTTGACTAGTCAACATGTTTACACAGGGCATATGAAAGCAGAGTAACCATGGTGCGTTGTGTCCCTTAACAATGCCACTAGAGGTCCGATGGTACCCTGATGACATAAACACATATGAAGCATTGTTACAGCAGGATTGCACGGAGCAAATTAAACAGACGATTTGGCGAAGAAAACTTCAGAGCATTCATTTTGAGCCAAATCTTCATAATATAAAACAAATGAATTACATGTTTTCAGCTCTTTATTTGGACTAAACACAAATATTTACCATTTTGACTTTGGAGTCTCTGCACAGGGAGAATGCCTATTTCTTCTTCTGATTTCTATGAAGAACAATCCTGAAAGAGTAGGTGTAGCATCTGCTTAGGCTTCTGAAGTTAAATAATGCAGTCATGGTCCTTTGGCTTTTCCACTCCCAAACCTCTAGTGTGTCTCTGGGGAACCAAGGCCCAGGAGGTGGTCTGCCACCTGCTTACCTAGTTCTCCAGGCTTCTTCACCAGCCCCCCTCCCCTCGTGGGGCTCCTGCTGCACCAAGTCCACTCTCCACAACTAAAAATCTCTGCACTTGTTGCTGCCTGACCTTCACCCCAGTCCACCTACATTGCCCCCAGTCTCTGGGTCACAGGTCAGAGGAGGCAGTGCCTCTGATGCTTGCCTTGACCCTGCAGCCTAAGTTAGTTTATTATCAATTCAGAACCTCGGCTTCCTTCCTCTCACACTTGAATTTGGTTAAGATTTGGCTATACTAAGTTTCCTGAAAGAGATGTTTGTAGTGCAGTTTTTAGACCAAGAGCATAGAAAAATAAATCAGCAGGTTGTTTAATGTTAAGTTCTGGAACCAACAAATCTTACATCAATTAACAATGTTAGAGTTTGCAGGGCACTAACAAGGAGGCAGAAGCAGATGAATCTCTGTGAGTTCCCAGCCAGCCAGGGTGACACAGTGAGATCTTGTCTACAGCACCAGAATCCCCTGGGATGGTTTCTGGGTCCTGCTCCCATCCTTCCTCCCTCTCACCTGCTCCTCAGCTGCTGCTCTCTGTTTCCATAGGCACTGTGACTTAGCAGAGTCTCTTGATGACTGGGTCCCCTTCCTCATCTTAACGGTGAAGAAAATCCCTCTCCAGAATTAAAACTAAATAAACTTTTATGTGTGTGCACGTGCACGCGCATGTGTGGTCATGCCTGTGCCTATGGAGGTCAAAGGACAACTTTTAGGAGTCAGTTTTTTTCCTTTCACCACAGGGGTCCAAGAACTGAACTCAGGACATCAGGCATGACTGCAAGGGTTTTCTGCTGCCGCTGTGCTGGCCCTAGACCCTAACTTTTAATTTGGCAAACCTTGCTGGTGAATGTTGTCATCCCATGAATGGAATTGGTGCCTTTGGATGGGGTAGAATGATGTTCCCTTTCCCAAGGTCAGTCTTTATTTTAATGATTGCTGGCTTTCACTGTAACTGGCTGAAAACAATGCGTTCTGGTTAGTTTCAAGAAGTGCTGCCCTTTCAAGAAGCACTAAGCTAGGAGGTGGTTGTGTACACCTTCAATCCCAGACTCAGGAGGCAGAGGCCAGCCTGCTCTACAGCGAGAGTTCCGACTGCTGTCTGCTGTGTAAGTAGTCCTAAAAATTACTGCAGGTGGAGAATAGCCCATGAGCCTGAGCTGTGACCACAGTTTCCCACAGAGGGCTCCCTCCGCCTGTTTTCTGACTTGGAGTCAGACCCTGGCCCTAGGCAGACACTCCTGCTGCAGTGGCCTGCTCTCAGGGCTTAATGTAAAGTGGGACATGTGTCAGTAAGAGGACATGCCAGATGGCTGAGGGCTCAGCTGCCTGCTGGGAGAGTGAGTGGGGCCAGAAAATGAAAGTGGGGGCGGGGAGTGGGAATGGTACAGCTAATATGTTATTTTTGAATCATGCTGCAGAATTGTGGACATTGGCCAGCTTCCTCCCTATCCCTTTAGTCTTATTTTTCCCTCATCTTGACCCTCCTCCCTGGGGCTTACACTGAGAAGGGGAGAGAAAAATCAGTGTTCTTTATTCGTTGCCTAGCAACCATGAAAAGCCTGGGAGAAGAACTGGGAGATGAGCTTAAGGTTTGTTCCCTCGGTGTCTGCAGTACTGAAGATCATTCTCTTTTATAATCGCCAGTAACTTGGATTCAAAAGCCCCACATACTTCATGTGTAGGATGACGGGGCTGGGGTGGGGTCAGGGTTCACAGGAATGATTAAGAATAAAATGAAGTCGTGTTTATATTTATCATTATGAAATCCATTTCTTTCTTTCTTTTTTTTTTTTGAGTGTTTATGGGTAGTGTATATGTAAATGCATGTGTCCTGGAGTTTATGTGCTGATGTGTTTGCTTGTGAAGGCTAGAGGTAGACATTGGATGTCTCCTAAGCTGGCTAACCAGGGAACCCAGGGCTCTGCCTGTCTGCCCATCCCAACCCCCTCTACTGGGATTATAGGCAGTGCATTGCCATGTTCAACTTTTTTTTTCCTTTGTTTTTTTTTCAAGACAGAGTTTTTCTCTGTAGCCTTAGCTGTTCTGGAACTTGCTCTGTCGACCAGGCTGGCCTCAAACTCATAGAGATCCACCTGCCACTGCCTCCCAAGTGCTGAGATTAAAGGTGTTCATCACCAAGACTGGCCACACCCCGCTTTTATGTGGGTGCTGGGAGTCCAAACTCAGGTCTTCATACAAGGCAAGGTTTTCACAGGCTACCCTAGAATTACAAAGCGTAAGGTAGCCACAGATCTCCCTGCCTCAGTCTGCTGAGTGCTAAGATTACAGGCATCAGCCACTGTGCCTGATTAAACCTGTTGCTTTGCATGCTGATATTAGTTTTCGTATTACTATGACAACTAAAGAAAAGAAATTTATTTATTTATTTTTTGACTCTTTATTTAAGAAAGAGTTAGTTCATAGTGAGGAGAGAGGCATGCATGGTCAAGTTCATGGTAGCAGGAACATGCAACTAGGACTCCACAATTGTGACGAGCAAGAATCAGTGCTTAGGGAATTTTGACACTAATCTTATATTCATTTTTTCCCTTTTATTCAATGATGGAGTCAGAGCAGAAGATGGATTGGTGCCACCCACTTTCAGAGTGGGTCTTCACTCCTCATTTAAACTCCTCTGGAAGGGGGCTGGAGAGACGACTCAGTGGTTAAGAGCATTGCATGCTCTTCCAGAGGTCCTGAGTTCAATTCCCAGCAATCACATGGTGGCTCACAACCATTTGTAAAGAGGTCTGGTGCCCTCTTCTGGCCTTCAGGCACACAGACAGAAATTGTGTACATAATAAATAAATAAATAAATAGATAGATAGATAGATAGATAAATAGATAGATAAATAAATAAATAAACTTCTCTGGAAGCACCGTAGAGGGCATCCAGAGGTGCATCTCCATCAGTGTCTTTAAAGATTGAGGGGTGTGTTTGTGTGTCCATGTGCACTTGCCAGATTGTGTTTATGTTTACCAAGTGAGTGCAGGTACCTTGAGAGGCTGGAAGAGCAGATCTGATCCCCTAGAACTAGAGTAACCGATGAATGACATGAATGTTGGAGACAAAACCTCGGTACTCTGCCAGAACAGCTAGTGCACTTAGCTGCTAAAACATCTCTTCAGCTCATAATTTTAAGTCTTAGTAAAAGATAATAAAGCGAAAAAATACTCATAGGCCTCAGGGATTGTGAGAGTATATCAGGATGACAGGATTGATGTCAGAGCAGTTGCACTAATTAGAGGAAGAATGAAGTGACATCTGCTTCCACATGTCAGCAAATGCATTTATATTCATCCGAAGGCCAGGCCTGCCCAGTGAACCCTGAGCTAAGGAAAGGAAGTTGACACTTGGTGGGGGGGGACATGCCTCCTACCTCTTGTGTTTATGAGAAGCTAGCTGCTCAGAGGGTGGGCTTACTTCCTGGAAGGCCTGAACAATCGAAGGCGGTGACAGCCTGTCTTTGTTTTGCTTTGTTTTTGTTGGAGACAGGGTCTTACTGTATATAGCCCTGGCTAGCCTGAAATTTGCTGCATACACCAGGCTAGCTTCAAAACTTACTGAGCTCCTCCTAGTTTCCAAGTGCCAGGTTTACAGGCATGCACTACCACACCCCAGCTTAGTCTGTATAATTTAATGTAGTCATTTCCAGAGGGGAGAGGTTGGAAACCTTGCCCCAAGAACCACTCCCTTGTTTCAGAGCCTTAGAGAAGAGCCTTAGAGAGGAAACTTGGGGAGTCTCCTGTCCTTGAGTGCTCATACCCCCAAATCATCATCACTCCTTTTTCCCAGTGAGTTTGGATTTGCAGACCTTTGAAACGGGCCTTCAAGGGGGAGATTGTAATTCACTAACAAATCAGGTTGACTTGCCTCTGGCTGAGGAGGGCCTAGAGATCCTGTCTAGCTCCCTCTGTTCCTCTGCATGCTTTGAGAGGCATTGTTCCCTTTGTAAGGACTTGAGTGGATCAGATTTGCAAGCTGTAAACTTAGAGAAGGGCAGAAGGCCAATTTCCTCCTAGTTCTTCCCTATGAGATCTGTCTGCTTTCTCAGCAGGGGAGACCTCTTGTTGTCTCTGGACAGAGAACTTTTCGGAAATGTTAAGATTGACTCCATAATTTGAAACAATGTTGGATAAATAGCAACATGTTGCCTTTTAACAATAGTAGACTTGAGGCCCTAATTACTTATTAGTTCCTTGAATTCCCCTGCCCTTAAGAAGAAATGTTTATGTTGTTCCTTGAATTCCCTACCCCTTAAGAAGGAATGTTTATGTTGTTGAGAATAACTAGTGATATGTTGTAAAATTAATATTCCATCTTGTTGGAATGCTCCCAGCTCTTATCACTGCATTATTTGAAAATAATTTCTTGACAGATTCCTCCTTCAAGAAGTTGCCTGGTTTTCCATAGAAAATACAGGAGAAAAATTGCTACTTTGGTAGGGAGCGCTGGGGAAGGAGGTGGGCAGTACTGGCATGTTCCGCACAGACTTGAGCCTTTGTGCTCTTAATCTCTGTTGGAAAGTGTCCCAGAATTCAAAGCAGGAGGGCATTGACTGTGGCCAGCTTTGTTTGAGAAGTTTTTCAATGTGACATTTGTGTCTTGACAACCCAAGAACTGCTCCGTTGGCAGAGATGAGAGGCCCAGCTAGCCCAGCGTTCTGTGCCTGGAAATGGCACCAAAGGGTGTTTTATAAGAAACGTTCTTCACGCCACTAGCTTCATGTCCTTTGTGGCGCTCCTGTGATCCTCCAGCTTCCTATAATAGTCCATGGTCGATATGTTATCCAGGAATGTTCAGAGCTCTCCTTGAACCTATTCAGATGCCAGCTCTTAGGGTGACAGATTCCAGAGTCAGCACATATTTGTATGCTTAGCTTATGCCTCACAGACCTGAGCACTGAAGAAGATCCAAAGACTGTGTGGGATTTGATCCTACTCTTGGCTGCTTCACAGACAAGACCACAGCAGTTGTTGAACAAGGTGGGTGGTGGTTCCAGGTGTCGCCTGGGGAACACCACAGTGACAACACACAGAAGCTGATGGGAAAGCACAGAGCTGTATTGAGAAGTATGGTGGATTAAGCTTTGTCGTTGGCTGCCAGCTCACAAAGACTTAATTATGAAAGCTCAGCCTTAGCTTGGGCTTGTCCCACTAGCTCTTAAAACTTAAATTAACTGATTTATATTAATAAATAATATAAATGCTTTGTGACTTTTTATCTTTCATTCTGTATGTCCATCTTCCCCCACCCCCCGCTTGGCACCTCCTTTGTACCTCCATTATCTTCTACTTCCCTTCTCTGCCTGGAAGTCCTACCTATACCTCCTGCCTAGCTGTTGGCTGTTCAGCTCTTTATTAAGCCAATCACAGCAGTGTATCACCACACATGTACAAATATCCCACAACAGTATTGTCAGACCCATGATGCTCTCTCCCTATATGTAAGTGTAGTGAAAAATAAGATTGTAATCAGCAGACTGATTGATGAAGAAGGAGCTTTCGTCAGTGAGATTTAGTCATTCATTATGAAGCCAACACTCGCTTTTGTTATACCCAGAAGACAAATTTTTCTTTTTCTTGTAGCTTCCTCCACACCTATTGATCGTTTCCACGTTAGAACATCCAGCCCTATGTCTCCTGTGCTGCTTCCGGGTTTAGTGCTCAGAGATGCTTGTTTGTTCCTAATTATTTTGAGAAAGGGAATTAATATTTAATGTGGGTTTCTCATATTCTGTGTTATATATAGTCTGTATATCTGTATATATATGAAGTGCTAAATTACGCCATTTAGACAACATGAGCCAGGAAAGTGAAGCAGAAAAGAAAGAGATCGCTTGACTGAAAATGGAGATGCCTGTTCATGGTATGGATAGGACCTGAACTCATACTTGAGAAAAGTATAAAAGTATCTAAAAGAAGATAAAGGATAAAATAGGAGTAAACTCGAGGGACACACACACATATGCACACATTTTCTTTGAGACAAGGTCTCGATGTAGCCCAGGCTCGCCTATAATTCAGAGCAATCTCCTGCCTTAGTTTTCTAGTAGTTTGATTTGAGGTTTGCGCCCACAAGCAAGGCTAGGGTATTGCTTTCCTCTTCACCTGCTACCTTCCTTCTTAGAGACCTTTTGTTGTTTTTTATTTTTGAGGCAGAGTCTCTTTTCACAGCCCTGGCTGTCTTGGAATTCACTGTATAGACCAGGCTGGCCGCAGACTCACAGAGCTCCACCTGCCTCTGCCTCTGCCTCTGCCTCTGAAGCACTGGGATTAAAATGTGAGTCCCCATGCCCAGCTGACAGTAATTTATCAATCTTTGTGGACAAAGAAGTCATGGTTGGTGGAAGGTCTAGGCAGCCCAGGCTCCTACTTAGGACTTCCCACCTACAGTCCTTGGTGCCACATTCATAGCTGAGAATATATTCCAAATGGCAAGTAGAGGGAATCCATACTCCCTTATGCATAGACTTTGACATGCTGTTGCCAACTGTGTGTCATGTACCTTGGGCCACTTTTCCTCTAATGGGCTCATTCAGCCCTCAGTTTGTATAAGGCTGTTGTCAAATACTGTTAACACTTGACAAATTTTCTTCCTTATAGGTACGGAATGGCCATATCAAAAGAATAACTGACAATGACATCCAGTCCCTGGTGCTAGAAATTGAAGGGACAAATGTCAGGTAGGTCACCAGCTCTGTTCTGTAGACTGCTGCATCAGGAGGGCAGTGTGTTCCAGTGTTAGCGGAATCAGGCTGTCTGTGGATCCCTCACCACCGACAGCTTATCTCAGGCAGCTTACCTGATCTCCACCTTTAGTTTCCTCATCCTGAAAAATGCGGTTGTTTTCCTGTAGGTTAGTGTGAAGATTAAATATGGCGCTTAGACCCATATCCAGCATGGAGAGCAGTTAGCTTTCTCACTGCTGTTCACCCAGAGTATAGGAGAGTTGTGGCCATTACAGTTTTCAACACCCCAGATTTTTTCTTTTTTTATTTTTTCTATCATCATATTTACCTTAGAATTGAAGTTTTCTTTTGCTGAAAAAACTTTCCAGACTTTTTGTTTTGTTTTTTTCAAGACAAGGTTTCTCTGTGTAACAGTCCTAGATGACCTCGAACTAGCTCTTATAGACCAGGCTGGTCTTGAACTCACAGGCATTGGCTACCTCTGCCTCCCAAGTGTGCTCCACCACCGCCCAGCCACAATAATGTGTGTGTGTGTGTGTGTGTGTGTGTGTGTGTGTGTGTGTGTGTGTGTATATGTTGGTTTTTCAAGACAGGGTTTCTCTGTAGCTTTGGAGTGTCCAGGTTTTTTTTTAGATACTTTATTGTTAGTCTCAACTTTTGTTTGAGTTTTTTGTTTGTTTGTTTTGTGTTGATCTTTTGGTGAAGGGGATTCAAGACAGGTTCTCATTATGTAGCCCTGGCTGTTCTGGAACTCACTATGTAGACCAGGCTGGCCTCATACTCACAGAGATCTGCCTCCTACAAGCTGGGATTAAAAGTGCACCACCACTGCCTGGCTTCATTTGTTTTTTTAAAGACATGATCTTTTTATGTTGCCCAGACTCTCCTTGCTCTCCTGGCCTCTTAACAGTCTCATGGATTGCTACACTTGACATAACTTTTTATTTTGTTTATTTTGTATGTGTATGTGGGGAAGGAGGGATTGTGCTCATGCTGAGGTGTGCATTTGGAGGTCATGTGGGTCCCAGGGAACAAACTGGTCCTAAGGTTTGACAGCAAGAACCTTTACTCACTGATCTGTCTTACCAGCCCTGGCATTTCTTAAAGCGTTCATTAACTGAACTTTTGAGGGGGTCACTAGGTGATGGAGCTGAGACCTTTAGGTTGCTTTCGCGTTTTTACTCTTGGATCATGTGTTATTGTACACACTGCAAAGGAAGAAAGGCAAGTGACCACCCCTGGTGTTTCTGCTGACAGCACCACATACATCACATGCCCTGCAGACCCCAAGAAGACACTGGGGATTAAACTGCCTTTCCTCGTCATGATCATCAAAAACCTGAAGAAGTATTTTACTTTTGAAGTCCAGGTGAGTGTGTTGGAGAACCAGGCGGTAAGAATGCGCGTTAACCTTTGGTGTGTGCTCTTTCCTGCCTCTGCTAAAGCTCAGTGCAGCTCTCTCTCATGAGGGTGTAAATTTGGTGTTCAAAACCAAAGATTTAATGTGAGAATTTTAAAGAAACAGCACCCAGAAAGTCTAATCAATGGCTACAAGAGTTCAAAGCTTAAAGAGTCACATACACATTTGGGGGATAACTATGTAATATTGAGTTATTGTTTCTGTTTTAGTATTTTTGAGCTTTTAGAGGGAAGAAATATGAAATCATTCTATGGTCTGAGAGCCTACTGTCTGTGTCGTATGTCACTGCAGCTGCTGTTGTCTTGACAACAGATAAGATAAACTCACTACTTCTGGGCCATCTGTGAACAGCTATGACCTGTCTCTGGCCTGTTTATTGTCCCTGGGGTTTGACCTTGGGAACCAGGCTGTGGAGGCTCAGATTCTTGCCTTAAGGACTTTCCTGAGCCTGAGAACATGGAGACAGTGACAGTGTGGCCCTCCTCTGCATGCTGCAGGTACTAGATGACAAAAACGTTCGCCGGCGGTTTCGAGCGAGTAACTACCAGAGCACCACCCGCGTCAAGCCTTTCATCTGTACCATGCCCATGCGGCTGGATGACGGCTGGAACCAGATTCAGTTCAATTTGTCTGATTTCACCCGGCGGGCGTATGGCACAAACTACATTGAGACCCTGAGAGTGCAGGTACTTCGTTCTCCTTGCACACATGGAGTTCCACACTTAGGGCTCTAGGACACATTCTGGCTGGCTGACTGATGGCACATGTGGCAGAGTCATGTGGGGCTTCTAGCCAAAGTTCCTGTTGAGGGGGTTTTGGCCTTCAGAAGGGCCAGAAAACATTTTGAGGTCTACTCAAACAAGGTAAATTCAGCAATCAATCCTCTTTTTTTTTTTTTTCTAAGTTTTTTTTTTAAGATTTGTTTTATGTGTATGTGTGTTTTGCCTGTAAATTACATCTGTGTACCATGTTCATGCTTGGTACCCTAGAAGGCCAGAAAAGGCTCTTGGATTCCAGAAACTGGAGTTAGGGATGGTTGTGAGCTACCTATTGTATGGGCTAGGAACTGAACCTGGGTTCTTTGCAAGAGCAACAGGTGTTCTTACCTCTGAGCCAACTCTCCAGCCCCCTTGAATATTTTTAGATTATTTTGTGTATATGAATATTTGTCCTGCATGTATATGTGCACCATATATATACCTGGTATCTGATGAGGTCATCAGATCCGCTAGAACTGGAGTTACAGAGATGTGAGCCATGGTGTGGGTACTGGGAATTGAACCCAGGTCTTCTCTCTGCAAGAACAATAAGTTATTTTAACCAATGAGTATCTCTCCAGCCCCTGAATCCCTCTCTTATTAGCATCTACCCCAAAGCAAAGCCAATTTCCTAATGAAGATGTAGTTTTGGGAGTGCCATGAGAGGGCTTTTGGGAGAATCAGGCAAAGAGGAAACAGTTGTATTTAGCCTGTCAAAATGAGTCTTGCCTCCACAGATCCATGCAAACTGTCGTATCCGAAGGGTTTACTTCTCAGACAGACTCTACTCAGAAGATGAGCTGCCAGCAGAGTTCAAACTGTATCTCCCAGTTCAGAACAAGGCCAAAGTAAGACATTCTTCCTTAAGGAAACCCGGTGGTGGGGAGCCGTGACCTGGGAGATCCCCTTGACGGAGCTAGCACTGGAGGCTGGCTATCACCTCTTCATTCTCCCTCCAGCGTAGCAGCACTGAGCTAGGATGAACTGAGGCCTGTTCTGTTGCTGCTGCTTCCCCACTGCAGTGTGTCTCCCCTCCCCCTCAGGCCTTCCTGTTTCCTGCTCACGGGTCTTCTTGGAAGAATGCCCTCCATCTGATTTTTTGTCAGCCTCAAAGGCTAACAAGCAGGCAGTGTACAATTGTGGACACTTCGCATGCATGCCTGTTCAGCCACGGCCCAGTGTCCACTTGGGCATCAAAAATAGGGGCCTGGTGGTATTGAGCTTCAGTTTTCTAGTAGCTGACACTGATTGCTCTTTTCTGCTTTTCTCCTTCAGCAATAACTGAACGGCAACTAAGGGGGACAGACTCTGGACGTGACTCCTAGTTAAGGAAAAAACTACATGGAGACAGTGCAGAAACATTTCAATAATCCACTGTGCTATGGCTCATTTATGACTTCACGTCTTTGTCATGGACACCAGTGACCACGCCACAGTTCTGTTACTTGCATTCTAAGTTCAGTGGGGGAAGGCAGAGCTTTGAGTGACACACCACTGCTGGGGTTTCCTGTGCTGCCTGCCCTGGCATGGGAGAGACACACAACAAATGCACGGAGTTAAAGACGTCCTTCAAGGCAGAATCAGACCAATATTTCTTCCTACAGTTTATTCTTTCTTTTATATATTATCTAAATATATGTATATGTTGTGTAATGCGCATAATCTGGAAACAAATAAAATGCTATATTCTTGGTTTGTAAGTTTGTTTCTACTTTACTTTTTGATGGTTATGATTTCTTTTTTTTTTTTCTTTTTTTTTTAAATATTTATTTATTTATTATGTATACAATATTCTGTCTGTGTGTATGTCTGCAGGCCAGAAGAGGGCACCAGACGTCATTACAGATGGTTGTGAGCCACCATGTGGTTGCCGGGAATTGAACTCAGTATCCTTGGATGAGCAGGCAATGCTCTTAACCTCTGAGCCATCTCTCCAGCCCCTTATGATTTCTTTTTTGCTATGACAAAGCAGCCATTTGCATGCAGTGTAAGTCAGGCCTGTATGTGCTGACTGAATCAATAACTCTAGATGAGCTAATAACAGAGAATACAGCCAGGATGTCGCCATGAGAGTCATCTTAGTAGGGGAGGCGGGGTGGGTTGTAAATTGAGTTTAACACAAAATGGCATCTAACATAAGCTGCTCTTACACACCCTTGAAGGCTCCCTTAGAACCAACCCTTCGTGATTCACAGTTGGATCCTCCTGCACTATAGCAGGTCCCCAGATAAGGACTTGCCAGATCCCTTTAGCATTTCTATAACTAGTGGAGGTGGCCCTGAGGTCACATCTTTGTTTGTTTGTTTGTTTCTTTGCAAAAGAATTTTTTATTTATTTATTTTTTAAAAAAAGATCTCCCTGCGTAGCCCTGCTTGCCACGAAACTCTCAGAGATTCTCCTGAATCTGCCTTCCCAGTGCTGGGGTTAGAGGGAGTGGTGACTCCCTGAAAAATAACTTTCTAAAAAATTAAATTTATTATTTATGAGAGGGGTGGACGTGTGGAGGCCAGAGGGCAGCTTCAGGCGTCAGTTCTCTCCTTCCTCCGTGTGAGTCTTGGGGGTTTAATTCAAGTAGTCAGACCTGTCAGCAAGTGTCTAGTGCTGAACCATCTCCCAAAACCTGAACTTAAAAAAAAAAATTAATATTGCATGTGCTATGTGTGCAGACCTCAGAGACCATTGGATGGTCCTGCTCCCACCCGTGAGCTCTGGGACTGGGACTCTGGTGGTCAGGCATGTGTTAAGCTGTCAGCTGCTGAGCCATCTCACTGGCTCCTGACTCCTCCACTCTATGTGGCGTGTGTGACATCAACGTGTGCAGACGTGTCGGTGACCCCCTGGAGGCTGAGACAGAGTCCCTGCCTCTTAGAAGAACAGAAAGCCACCCCAGACACTGCTCTCGAGCCCTGTGGACTTGATTTCATTCCGAGTCGTTTTGATTTTGGTTGAAGAGGAACACAGATTCAGAGATATCTCATTACAGTTTCTACTTTCTGAGGATTTAAAGGGCGGGGAGCGCCCTTCTCCAATATTCTTGGCCTCCAAACATGCTCTGAGCGAGCATTGCCACGTCTCTGCTGCCTCGCACGACCTCGCACGACCTCGCACGACCGTCACGTTCCCATTCTCCTCACATCTGTCAGGCGCTACAGGTATACTCGCCTGATTTCCCACAACCCTCTTGGGGTCACCAAGCCAGGCCGAGCCACCTTCCACAGCTGTCACCCTGTCCTGAGAATCCCTGGCAATTTAGCATCTTGAGCAACTCTCAGCCCAGGTGACAGCTGAGTTAGCCAACATTTACATTTTTTGGATTTTTTTTTTTTTTTTTTTTTTAGTTGCTATGTGCCTGCCCCCTCCACAACTCCACAAAAGGAATCCCTGAAATAAGATGGGAGTGGAGTGGTCAGTGACCTCAACAGGGCTTCCTGCCACCCCTGTGCTGAGGTCTTCACTGCAGCCTGTGTCTGCTGTGGAGAATGACGCCTTTGTGGAGGCAGGGACGTCCGGGGTAGCTTTTCTTCTTCTCTCGGTGCCAGGACACCAGCGAGGCGCTCCTGGAGACTGAGAGACACAGTAAGACTCTCTCCTCCACACAGAGCCCTTTCACCCTGAGGCTCTCGTCAGCCGGCCTTCGGGATTACCTCACCAGTCTCTAAAGGGTGGCTGGCGGCAGCTGCTGACTTCTCTGATGCTCTCCATACCCATCTGAGAGGAAGTGAGGGGGTGCCGAGGAAGACAGATATTATCTAGGCTGGAGCCAGGCCAGTGGAACAGTGGCATCAGCCACAAAGTGGCCCTTGGCTTTGGTTTTCAAACGCAGAAGGAAGATGACAGGCAGGCAATTACTAGTGGAGAAGCTGGGGGAAGGGCAGACCTTGGGGGTAGAGGCCTGGTCTGGAGTCACCGGAGCAGGCGGGGCTGCATCGTGCAGTTCCTAGGAAGCCGTGTTTTACTAGAAGCTGCCTTCTAAACAGCAGTTGGTTTATTGGCATGCAGCTGTCCACTCCAGAATGGGCCACTGGGGATCTATCATGGCCCGCATTAGCCACTAGCTCAATGACTGCTTCATTTGTAGCCACCCAACGAGCTGGCGGGCACCAGCCCAGACTTCCTGAAGCGCTTCAGGGATTCAAACAATATCCCTTGGTATGAGTGGCGTTAGCCAGAAATCCTCGGCATCACAGAAAAAAGCTCTACACCCGCTTTACTGATGAAAATACTGAAGCCACTCTGATAGTGACAGTGAGGTGTGGGGACCCAGTTCCCCTAATAGAAGTTCTGTGCCATGCTCAGTCTTGTCTTGGCATCCCCCTGCCTCAAAGACTAGGCTTGGCTTGGCCTTGGCGGTGAAGGCTGTTGGTCAGTTACCCTATGGCCACATTGTTACCTGAACTCTCTAAGACTGAAGGCGGACAGCTGAGACGTAGAGGTCTGCGTTCCATAGACGGTTCGTAAAGGGAGTGTCTGCCATGACAAGCTCAAACGAGAAGTATGAGGCCGCTTGGTCCCGATTCTCGTATCCAGACACACGAGGTAAATGTCCACTTGACACTTGGCCTGACAGCGGCCACGGCCTGCTCAGATTCCCAGTCTTTCCTTCTCCCCGGAGCTGGGGCATTTCTAAGAACGGGGGCTGGATATAATATAGTTCAGTTGGTAGAGTCTGGCTAGCTTGCAGGAAGCCTTGAGTATGACCAACAGCACCACATAAAACCCAGTCACAAGTGAATGCCTATTAAACCCAGCCCTCTAGAGTTGGAGGCCCAAGGACTAGACACCCCAGGTCACACCCAGCTGTTAGGATAAACCCCCACCCCAAAGTAGCACATATAGCACAGTACATTGGGCACAGCCTTCTACCCCAATATACTTAAAAAAAAAAAAAGTTATGTAGTTATCTCTCCAACCTCCTGTAATATGTTTCCATAGCTCTTCATGAGGCACCTTCAGGAGTATGTCTGAACAGACAAAGGTAGGTTGGGGCTACCGCAGTCCACAGACCTATATAGAAGTCAAAAGGCTCACTAAGGCTGTGTGGCTCTCCTGGCCAGGGCAGGAGGGATGTGGGATTCCCCTCTGGATGCTATGAATATGTGTTATTACCATTGGTTAATAAGCTGCTTCAACATATAACAGGGCAGAATATAGCCAGGATGGAAGAGATACATATGGAGAAAGAGTAGGTGGAATCAGGGAGAGGCCATGTAGCTGCCAAAGGAGACAGATGCCAGAACCTTGCTTGAAATTTACTGGTAGTCCACAGTCTCATGGTGATATATAGCTTAATAGAAATGGGTTAATTTGAGACGTAAGAGTTAGTTAATAAGAAGCACGAGCTAATGGCTGAACAGTGTTATAGTTAATACAGTTTCTGTGTGATGATTTGGATCTGAGCGGTTGGGAAATGAAATGCAGTGTTCATCTGCACAGGAGTAAAGCCTTAGGCTTCCCACTTCAGATGCCTGTTCACAGAGCATCTGGAATAGACACGGGACTGCAGAGGAAAGTGCCTGTTTCTTTCCTGAGGAACAAGAATGGACTATAGGTCCTCATCACATTCCAGGGCCTGTTGATACACCATGCCCTGACCACTTAGTAGCATGTATTGCTGTGTGGCGTGAGCTACTGACAACAGCCTGAAGAAATGATTCCCCGAAGTCCGGCTTGGCAACCCACTGGGTTTGCTGGGGTTCCTTAGAGGGTCAGGATGTGCAGGAGCAGAGATGGCTCAAAGACAGCCCACGGCACTGTGAGGCTCACCTGGCGTGATGACACCCCACAGAAGCTGCCCTGGAGTTGCCTTCACTCCCAGAAGGCTCCTCTCCACTGATATCTGTTTGCTATTTATATAATCCTGGCAAAGGGTCTTTTGAACCTTTTGACTTGGGTGAGCTTGCTGTACCCACTAAGTTTTGTTAACTTCCTGAGACTGACAAGCAACCCTCTAAGAGTTGTGTTTCTGTACTACAGAGGTAGCCATACAACACTTGCCCCCCATCTCTGGCTCCTCTGCTTTTTACACCCCATCTTCCACAGTGTTCCCTGGGCCTTGGAGGGGATGATACTTCCCCATTTATGACTCAACATTGGTTCACTATCCCATAGAAAGAATAATTTTTGTCTTAGCAGCTTAACTGGGAATGTTGTTGCTCTCCGCAGATATCACTGCATTGCAAACATAGGAAGTTTCCTTCCAGGATAGAAGCCAATAACAGCAAGTCTATGGATGTAGACACAGATGTTCTTAAGGCAATTTGATAGGCATATCACATCTATTTAACAGAACAGCAGTAGTTGCTTCTTCATGGGGGCCTATAATCTCCTCAGATTCTGTCCTGACTTATGGTACCAGATGTGAGTTCTCTTCTGTGGAGCAGGTCTTAAGAGCTAATTAAAGAGCAGTTGGTTGTACCCCTAACAGTTATGCCACTATTGCCCCAGAGTCACATGTTGCCCATCACGTTGGTAGTGTAGTATGAAGATCCTATTTCACACTAACAACCCAAGTAACACTTCCAGTGCCGTGAAAGCTAGCCAATAGGGGAGAAGCTCTGGCTCAACCTAGCCCGATTTCTTCATGTTCTTCAGCCAAAGTATTTAAAGTCGCACCATCTAGTTCTGGCATGCACCCAACAGCGGCACCACTAGTCTTTGTGACTTCTAGGGGTTGGTGTCTCCCTGGCCATCTCTGGCCCTG